TGGGCGGGGCCCGGGTCGGACAGGTGCGTGCAGGTGCGTGTGCAGGTGTGTACAGGTGTATATTCAGGTGTGTGCATGTGTGTACAGGGGTGTGCAGGGGCGTACGGCACGTACAGGTGTGCCCAGGGGTGCACATACAGGTGTGCACATGTGTGTGCAGGGGTGTACTTACAGGTGTGTTCATGTGCAGGTGTATATACAGGTGTGTGCATGTGTGTACAGGGGTGTGCAGGGGCGTACGGCACGTACAGGTGTGCCCAGGGGTGCACATACAGGTGTGCACATGTGTGTGCAGGGGTGTACTTACAGGTGTGTTCATGTGCAGGTGTATATACAGGTGTGTGCATGTGTGTACAGTTGTGTACAGAGGAGTGTACAGGGGTGCATACAGGTGTGCATACAGGTGTGCACATGTGTGTGCAGGTGTATACTTACAGTTGTGTGCATATACAGGTGTGTACAGGTGTATATACAGGTATGCATGTGTGTGTACAGGTGTGTACAGGTGTGTACACATGTGTACAGGGGTGTACTTACAGGTGTGTGCAAGTACAGGTGTGTGCATATGTGTACAGGGGTGTATGGCACATACAGGTGTGCCCAGAGGTGCACATACAGGTGTGCACAGGTACAGGTGTGTACAGGGGTGAGCATGTATGTACAGGTGTACATACAGGTGTGTGCATGTACAGGTGTATGTACAGTGGTGTGCAGGGTGTATGTACGGGCGTGTACAGGTGTGCAGGGCTGTGTGGCACACACATGTGTATGTACAGGTGTGTGTATGTACAGGTGTGTGCAGGTGTGCGGGGAGCAGAGCCAAGCCCCCCGATGCAGGGCGGGAGGGAAGGGTGCTGCAAACCCCCGCGCAGGCAGGAGGACCCCGTTTGCCTCCGGTCCCACGGGCAGGACGGGCATCCCCGACCCCTCCGCCGCGGGTCTGCCTTGAGCAGGACTAAGCCCGCGGCAGGGGAGGGTCCGGGGAGCGGGACCCCAGGCTCAGAGCACGCCGCCGGCAGCCCCGCAGCTCCTGGAAGGGACGACCTTCCTCTTGCAGGCGAACATCTTGCGGAGCTCCCCGCGGAAGCGGTCGTGCAGCCAGGCGTAGAGGAAGGGGTTGCAGCAGGAGGAGCTCATGGCGAAGCAGTGGCAGAGCAGCTGGAGGAGCAGGAAGTAGCGCTTGTCGATGAGGCTGATGTCGACGTCCCGGATGATGTTGAAGACGTGGATGGGGAGCCAGCAGACGCCGAAGGCCGCCACCACCAGCACGATGAGGCGGAAGATCTTCCTCTTCCTCAGGCGGTCGAACTCGGCTTGGCTCTGCGTGGGGTGGCCGGGCACCACGCGGTTCCGCAGCTTCACCGAGATGCAGATGTAGGAGAGGGAGACGGCGGAGAGGGGCAGGATGTAGGTGACGATCAGGGTGCCGTAGGCGTAGGCCAGGCGCTGCGTCTCCTCCTCCATCCAGAACTCCTCGCAGATGGCGAAGCCCTCCTGCCGAAACTCCACGTGGTAGGTGTGGGCGACGGCGGGGGGCACCCGCC